GGGGAGCGGGCGGATCCCCGGGCAACGGGCGGATCCCCTGGGCGAAGGCGGATCCCCGGGAAGCGGGCGGATCCCCCAAAAAAATCCACAAAGCGAAATCACGACGCTATGCGTATTTTTTTCCCCTCATTCTAAACACAAAAAAACCGCGCTGCCGTCGTGATTCGTTGGTTTAGGTCTCAGAGCGTCAGGGTCTCTTTTTTTTTATATTCCTCGGCGATTTTATTCAGTAGATTGATTCAAGAGAACTGCGCTCACGCCGACACTGCGCTTGGGCATGATATCTGGGCTGATCAGGATACAAAACGAGATCTTTTATTGCCTTGTTGAGTCGATGAACAATTTAGTACCTGCTTGACTTTTTTGGTAAAAACATTTGCAACACGACTGAAACTACACGGATGCTCAGAATCTAAAATCCTGATACAGTGAGTTGCTCCATGTTGTCTCACGATCGTGCCTCTCGGTCTCGATAGATGCCTCTCGGTCTCGAAAGGATGCGCGGTAGCCTTCGCGCTGTTGACTGGGGTGACAGTTCGCGCGCTTTTGGTTTTACCAATATCCTCGCCCTCCGGGCGCGACCTTCATATTATACGGAATGTTGTACTATAGTGCTGCTGGTGGTGCCCGCCGGCGTGCTCTGAGATGTTGAACTACAAACGAGTTTTATTGAGATGATTTGAATTCCTTCGACACAATGCTGCCCGGCGCGTTTCTATCGCAAGAAAAAACTGTTTCAGTGTAAACTTGTAATGCAGAAACTGTATCTGAGAACTGTTTGTCTTGCTACACAAGCAAGACACTGGATTTTTAGCTTTGTTTTCCCCTATAGGACAATCTCGCATGGCAAATTTTCTCTGTGATGTAGAGCAACCGTGTGATGCAAAACTTGCAAAATCCTTACAGTGAAACACTTTTTTCGTCCGATACTCTCTTCCGCAAGCTAGTTCCCCGAATGGAGCGAAAGAGAAGGCAGCTTCAACATCGTTATTGAGAGGAAAAATCCCCCCTCGCCATATCGAAGCGGTATGTTTCCGAAAATTTGTGTTCCTGATTTGAGACCACAAACCAAGGCTGTCTTGCAAGAAGACAAGTGCAGAGGCTTCCGCGCCATTATGGAAGCGATTTGGCATGCTGTTGGGCCTAGGGGACAGCCCCAGCCGTTCTTTGTAATGCTAAACAACTAGACCCAAACGCGCGGACCTAGGCTGAGGATCTGGCTGCGATGTCTTACTGCAAGACAGCGCGCAGTTGTGTACGGAAATCCAGCATCAGAACTTCGTTTTGATATGGGGAGGGAGGGTTTTTCCTTACGATAATCGTCCATACTGACTCGGTACGCCGGATTCCTTCTATATGACTTGCTCAAATGTTACAATCTCAAGCGTTACAATAGAATCTGAAATTTGTGTTGCATGATGAGGATGACAGAAGGTTCCACCTTTTGCAATACAAATTTCGCCAGATTGTAGTGAGTTTTGGGGCTCCGAAACTTGTCATGCGCAATCCTATGAGAGTTGGCTAGATCATGCAATCTTGCATCACAGATTTCCATATTCTATTGTAACGTTTGAGATTGTAGCACCTGAGCGGGTTATATTCTAGCGTGCTTCTTTCTGGTTTTGGTGGAGCGTGAAATCAGCCGGAGAACTAGGTCTTCAGCTGGATCATGGCCCTGTTATTGCCCGGAAAAATCCCCCCCCCACGTTTATAGAAAGCGCAGCCTTCTGAAAATTTGTGATGCAGATTTGTGGTCACAAATCCTGTCTGCCTTGCCAGAAGGCAAACTCACTGACGCCGCCACGATATGCAGGCGATTTGTAATGCTGCAGGGCCTACAGGGGCCCAGACGTCTGCCATGCTAGGCCCCTACAGCAAAAGGGCTAGGGCCCGCCACCTTAGGCGTACGATCTGCGTGCAGCCCTTTACTGCAAGACAAGTGTGATTTGCGTACACAGATCCCGCATCACAGGCTTCCGATTTGATATGGGGAGGAGACGAGAATTGTCATTTTGATACCTGTGGGACGTTGTTCGCGCGGCAGCGAGGACGATCGAGTTGGACGGGGGCAGGAGGCTATGCATTGCAAAAGTGTCTGTGTCTGGAAGAGTGGCGGTTCAACTTGTAATGCTGTCTGCGGATTCCAAAAATGTCTGTGTTGCATGAGCAGCAAGAGGAGTCAGCTCATGGCACGCAGAGAGGGCATTTCTCATGCGTCATTAGCACCAAGAAGCTTTCATAAAATCAGTGATGCTAGAACCAGCATCACAGACCTCACGGATCATGCAACATGTGCATGACAAGCCCCGACTCTTCCAGACCTAGACATTTTTGCAGTTGATAGAGGCGCACAGGATGGCGCAGCGCCCAAGGCGGAGCTGCCCGCACCTGAACCCATGAAGATTACGACAGAGTTATCCTGAGTAAAAACGTACCCACACCAGAGTTGTAATGCAGATTTGCAAAGACAGGAAGACTTGTAATGCGCATCCCCATGAGAGCCATTTCCAATCGTGTTTTGGAATTTGTGATGCTGTGAACAGGATGAGCAGATGAATCTGTGATGCGGCTGCACTTGCTAACCTGCACTACACTGCAGATTGCAACTTGTCATGCGTGACTCACAAAACTCCTAGGTTTGTGTTGCAAAATCCCCATCCTGACTCTGGTGTGGGTACGTTTTTACTCAGGATAAGAGTCTGGAGGTGAAGGTCTGCATAAAGTAGTACCAATATCAAAATGAAAAATCCTCTCTCCCCACATCAAAACGAAATTTCTGAAGATGCTCCTGGATTTGCGTGCAGTAGAGGACTGCAGGCCCATATCATGCCGATGTAGAGAGGTTTTGCCCTAAGTAGGCACTTAGCATGAGGAACGTCTATGCTGTAGGCCCAACAGCATCACAAACCGCCTGAATGATTGGGCGGACAGCCTATGCCGTTGCTTTCTTGCAAGACAGACACGACGATCATCTGTGGTCACAAATCAGCATCGCAAATCCTCTGTGGCGTGCCTTTTCGATATGGGGACGAGGGGGGATTTTTCCTTACGATAAAAATCAAGCAGAAGTACAACTAGTGTGCTGCCACCTATCAAATGCAAAAGTGTCTGGGTCTGGAAGATTCTGAGACTTGTCGTGCATGTTTTGCATGACCCAGGATGTCTGTAATGCACGACCTAGCATCACAGATTTTTAGAGGGCTTCCTGAACCTGGTGCCTACTCCGCATGACAAACGCCCTCCCCGCGTAGCACAAACTAGACTCCTCTTGCTGGTCATGCGTTACAGATTTTTTTAGAGACCGAAGTTAGCATCACAAGTTCCAATTCTTCCAGACCCAGACACTTTTGCATTTGATACCACCGCAAACGGAGCAGACGTGGGACGAGGTTCTTTTGCTCGGATATCAAAAGGAAAAATCCCCCCTCCCCATATCAAAACGAAGTTTCTGATGCTAGATTTCCGTACACAAATCAGATTTGTCTTGCAGTGGGGGACTGCAGGCATATGCCAAGCCTGAGTCGAGAGGTTTTGACGTAGGCGCCTAGCATGACAAACGTCTAGGCTGTAAGCCCAACAGCATCAACACAAACCGCCTGCATAATGCGGCGGACTCTCTGGGTTCGTTTTCTTGCAATACAGACAGGCTTTGTGGTCACAAATCTGCGTCACGAATTTTCAGACGAGTAGACTTTCAATATGGGGAGGCGGGATTTTTCCCTACAATATCGGAAAGTTTGAGCGGGTGACGAAGGAAACCCCTGCCGAAAAAGCGGCGCGAAGAGCGAAGCATATTGAGAGGAAAAATGCCCCCTCCCCATATCGAAACGGCATGCTTCCGAAAATTTGTCTTGCTGATTCCCCATTTGATATGGGGTGGGGGCTTTTTTCATTTTGATAAAGCAGCGAACGTATCTGCAGGGTGCGTACGAGCACGTCGCGCACACCTTCGCGCCGGGCTTTTGCAAGCGGGTGAGTCGACTAGGGCCGGGCGGCGACGGCGGCAAGAACGTTTGCGCGGACCAGCTCCCCAATGCTGGGCAAAGTAGAAATAATGGCTCCCCTGCCACGTCGCTGACGGGTTCCGTTGGAGCCGGCGATCCTTTGGCGACGTCGTTATTACAATGAAAAATGCCCCCACCCCCGAATCGTTGGGAGCATTTGTATTGCAAACCTTTCCAAGTGAAACATTCGCCCTCTTGCATCTCTCAGCATCACAGGTTTCTAATCGTGAATAGCAAAAATTTGCATTGCAAAAGACCCCAGCAAGAGGGGCGCTTGTCATGCAAGCGATGCGATACACGCCGAGACTCTGCATCGGAAAGATTCATACTCCTTTCATGCATAGATAAAAAAGTTCTTCATTTGAAAACCTTACGCATGACAAATTTTTGCAATTTCAGTGGTGGGGGGCACTTTTTACTGTAATAGTCGTCCTGTCTCGTTTATTCCCTCGGGTCTCGCCTCGATTTTTCCTTCGAAGCGGCCGTAGTGCGGGAGACGGGGTATCAAAAGGAAAAATCCGCCCTCCCCATATTAAGAGAGTGTTTCTGATGCTGGATTTGCGTACACAAATCAGGTCTGTCTTGCAGTAGAGGACGGCAGCAGGCCCATACTAAGCCTAGGCACAAGGGTAGTTTTGACGTAGGAGCGTAGCATGGCAAGCGTGTACTCTGTAGGCCGCATAGCATGATCACAAACAGCCTGCATAATGCGGCTGAGTTGCTGGATTGGCCTTCTTGCAATACCTAGACGACTTGGGGTCACAAATCAGCATCGCAAATTTTCAGCAGTATCCCTTTTTGGTATGGGGAGGGAGATCTTTCCTCACAATACGGGGTGCGCGGTAGCCACCTTTGACTGCACCGTTCCGCCCGAAAAAGGACAAGCGCTAGCGAAGAAGCTACCGGGGACCGTATTCTGAGTAAAAGCGGGGCCCACACCCCAGAGTTGTCATGCAAATCTGCATGCCAAAAAAGTTTCATCTCATGCGGAGGGGGCCCATGAGGAGCATTTTGAAGTCGTGTTTTGGAATTTGTGATTCTAAAATCAGCATGATGTGCTAGATCTGTGATGCTGCTGAACTAGCTCAACAGGATAATTACACTACGAGGACATCAAACTTGTCATGCGAAACAGCCAAAGCTGGCTGATTTGTCTAGCAGATTTCCCATCTTGACTATGGGGTCGTGGGGAGGTTTTTGCGGAGGATAGACCGTCAATTTTCACCCGTGGTGCGTGGGCGAATCGGACGAAGAGAAGCCGATCAGCAGCGACGTGGGCTACAAGAAGAAGACCGGTATCAGAATGAAAAATCCCCCCTCCCCATAAATCAAAACGAAGTTTCTGATGCTGGATTTGCCTACACAAATCAGATTTGTCTTGCTGGCGAGGACTGCAGGCCCGTACTAAGTGTGGGCAGAGAGGTTTTGGCCTAGACGCTTAGCATGAAAAACATCCGCGCTGTGGGCCCAACAGCATGACAAACCGCCTGCACAATGCGGCGGAGCCTGCGGAGTTGCCTTCTTGTAAGACAGACGCGATTTGTGGCCACAGATCAGCATCACAAATTTCCAAACATATGCCTTTTCGGTATGGGGAGGGGGGATTTTTGCTTTTGATAACCGGACAGTTTTACACACTGGAGACCATTCAAAGAAAATTAGGCCACGTATCAAAAAAAAAAAATCCCCCCTCCCCATATCAAAATGGAAATCTGTGATGCAGCTTTGTGGTCACAAATCAACTTTGTCATGCTAGCAGGGAAAAGATGCGGACTGTAGTGCAGGGTGGTGTGGGAAAGCCTTGCAGGTCCAGCATGACAGGAGGCAGCTGGAAGTATGAAACAGCATGACAAATTGCCTGCAAACCAGGCCACAGCTGCGGCTCTTGGCTTTCTAGCAATACAAATCGATTTGTGTACTCAAATACAGCATCACAAATTTCGTTTTCGATATGGGGAGGGGGGATTTTTCCTCTCAATACCACGAGCGCGTCGACTTGTTGAAGATGGACATTGAGCGCAGCGAGTTCGGTATCGCAAGAAAAAACTGTTTCACTGTAAACTTGTAATGCAGAAAATGCATCTGAGAAGTATTTGTCTTGCTACACATGCAAGACAGTGGATTTTTAGCTGTGTTTTTCCTTAGGAATCTCGCATGGCAAATTTTCTCTGTGATGTAAAACAAACTTGTCATGCAAAATTTGCAAAATCCTTACAGTGAAACACTTTTTTCATACGATATTCGGCGTGGTAAAAGGCCTCCGACTCAACAGCCCTCAACAAGCGGGGGAAGAGCGAAAATTTCTGCCACGGCAAATCTTGATGGAAACGCATTTGCACGACGCCTACAACTATCAACTTCAAAAATGTCTGGGTCTGGAAACTTGTGATGCAAGTCCGTGAACAATAAGTGCTCTGTAATGCGCCGCCAAGCGTGACAAGTTTTTTCGTGCTTCTTTGATGCGTATTTCGCATGAGAAACTGCGCTTTTGCATGACAGGCAAGAGCACCTCTTGATGGCCGCGCAATACAGAGCGCCGAGTCATGCCAGACTAGCATGACAATCTTCCAGACCCAGACATATTTGCGATGCATAACAACCTCTGGGGCGGGAAAGCTGTCACCGCTGCACAATGGTCGGACTTCTGGCAGAAGTTGCGCGGCCTCTATTAGAATGAAAAATCCTTCCTCTCTTTTTTAACGAAGTTTCTGATGCTGGATTTGCGTATACAAATCAGATTTGTCTTGCTGGCGAGGACTGCAGGCCCATATCAAGCCTGAGTAGACAGGTTTTGGCCTAGGCGCTTAGCATGAAAGATGTCTACGCTGTAGGGACGACGCATGACAAACCGCCTGTAGAATGCGGCGGATCCTGTGGCGTTGCCTTCATGCAACACAGAGACGATTGGTGGCCACAAATCAGCAACACAAATTTTCGGAAACATACCTTTTCAATATGGGAAGGGGGGATTTTTCCGCTCAATAACCTCGGCTACCGAGTCATTGCGCACGAACCAAATCCAGTGGGAGCGGTCTGCCACGAGTGGAGCGTCAAGCTCGATATGGATTGCAAATATGTCTGGGTCTGGAAGGTGGAAACTTGTCATGGTAAATCTGAATCATGTAAAAATCTGTGTTGCATGATTACCAAAAGCTCTTCACTTTTGACTAAGTTAGGATGGAGTTTCTCATGCAGGATAGGCATGGCAGAGACCTCGCAGAGTCTGTCATGCTGAGTCCCGCATTCCAGACCTCATGGGTCATGGAAAATCTGCATGACAAGTTCACACTTTTCCAGATCCAGACATTTTTGCACTTGATACTCGAGGACCAGTGACGATTGTGCGCATTCTAAATGTTGTGTCAGGGTACGGCAAAGTGCAGAGTTTGTCATGCAGGTAGTCGCGGGGACAAGTACTTCAATTAAACGGACTTTCAGCTTGAGGGACTGAAATGCTTACAATACCTGTGTCAAAAGATAAAGAGACTGCTGTCGCTTATCGCACTTTCCGAATCTCGAGTGTCTTCTGCAGCTGTCTGCGGACTTCTATATGTGCTGTCGTTGTTTGCGCACGACGCATGACAGATGATCACGGGCACAGTTAAGAAGGGCTCGATATTGATGGCATCGAACACTTCATGACCAAATAGACAGCATGCGCGTGTTGACTCTGTGGTGACAAACTTCGGAATTACTTATTCAAAAAAAGGGAGCAGAGGGCTTCGTTGCAGTGCAAGCTTGGAGATGAGAAATCCCAGATTTGCAATTTGGGCGCAGCCGAAATGTGTTATCGTGATCTGTGGATGTTGTCGGTTGCCCTTGCCTTTCCGAAATGGAGGCGAAGATCTCAAGTTTAAATTTCTAGAAACGGAGGTAGGACATTGTCCCAACTACAAAATTCGTAGTTATGCCCAAATCGCATGCTTTTTCACGGCACCAGGGAAGATGTTGAGGAACACGAATTAGTCCTCGGCTTCTTCTATCAACTGCAAATATGTCTGGGTCTGGAAGAGTGCAAGTTTGTCATGCTTGTCTGGCATGAGTCTTAAATCTGTGATGCATGAGCAGGAAAAGGGCCTCTTGCCTGTCATGCAAGATGAACGCAGTTTGTCATGCGAAAAACGAAACACACAGCAGCGCAAAAGCTTGTCATGTTGGGCTGCGTATTGCAGTGCGCCAACAATTCTTAGATATGCATCACAAGTTTCCAGACCCAGACATTTTTGCATTTGATACTTCTTCTGTTCCGCAAGCGAGGGCTGCCGTTGTTCGTAACGGTTATGGCGATGAGGGCCCCGCCCTCGACTGTAGTAACAGCGTTTGTGTTTCACGATGTCGTCGACTGGGAAGAGGCTCCGTTCTGCAGCGACGCCGCGTGGCGAAACTGTATGAGCGCCGGGCCCTTTCTGACCCGCGGCGCGTTCGATATCAAACGCAAAAATGTCTGGGTCTGGAAGGTTGCAACTTGTAATGCTAGCTCTCCATACGACCTTGGAAATTTGTATTGCATGGCAAACAAAAGTCGCAGCCTCTTTTGCACATGCAAAAACGCAGTTTGTAGTCTTGCGGATTTGCTATGAGAAAGCGTTCTGAAATAAAGTTGTCATGCTGTGTCACATTCGGAACTGTTTCCATCATCCACATTTTAGCATCACAAGTTTCCAGACCCAGATACTTTTGCAATGCATATTCGAAGGAAAGTATCGCAAGAAAAAACTGTTTCACTGTGAACTTGTGATGCAGAAAACGAAACGCCAAAGTGTTTGTCTTGCTACACCTGCAAGACATCCGATTTGCAAGCGTGTTTTCCCTTGGGAAGCGCGCATGGCAAATTTTCTGTCTCGTGTGTAACAAACTTGTGATGCAGATATCGCTAAGTCACAACAGTGAAACAGTTTTTTCGTGGGATAGAAAGTTGCGATTCTTGTGTGAAACGTACGACCACGTGGTTTCCGTCCAGGATTTTTTTGCGCTATCAAATGCAAAAATGTCTGGTTCTGGAAGAATTGGAACTTGTGATGCTAGCTTTGGTCTCTAAAAAAATCAGTATTGCATGACCAGCAAGAGGAGTCTAGTTTGTGCTACGCGGGGAGGGCGTTTTGTCATGCGGAGTGGGCATCAGGAAGTCCCCCTCTAAAAATCTGTGATGGTAGGGCATGCATCACAAACAATCCTGGGTCATGCAAAACATGCATGACAAGTCTTAGAATCTTCCAGATCCAGACATTTTTGCATTTGATATGCGCTATTTGGCAAAGACCATCTGCCAGCGTCCAAACAGCAGGCGGCCGAGGACCAAACCGAAAGCGAAAATAACCGGCAATTGGCGCACGAAACAAGTGGTGGCCGCAGAGTCTGCGTCCTGACGTTCGATGACGGGATTCGCAGCGACTCGGCTACCGTAGTGCCACTTTTGCAGAAGTACGGCGCGACGGCATCCTTCTATGTGATCGGTGAAGTATTGGAGAAGCGCACGGTGGTCCGGGCTCACAAAATCCAGTTTCTTGTTCATGGCCCGAAACGGCACGCCGTTCTGGCAAAAGTTCTCGAGCATCTGCAGGAGCAGGAGCAGCTAAGAACTACATTATCTTCTACTTCCACATCTTCTACAAGAACGTCGAGAACAATGGTGGTGGAACAACAACTACACGGAAAAAATAAAGTAGAACACGACGAGAGCTGCAGGGAATCAACATGGCTAGAAAATTTGTGGGCAACAAAGTCGCGGACCCGGTATCGGCGCAACTTCTGGTCCCGCTGCTATCGAACGGAAAAATCCCCCCTCCCCATATTGAAACGGAAATTTCTGTTGCTGGATTTGTGTACACAAATCAGCTCTGTCTTGCAGTGAGGCACTACAGGCAGAGCCTAAGCCTGCGTGTGGGGGGTTTGGTGTAGGTGCTTGGCATAGCAGAGGCCTGCCATGATGCCGCCACAGCATCCATTACAAACCGCCTGCATAACGCGGCGGACTCTTTGGATTTGCCCTCTTGCAAGAGAGACTGGATTTGTGGTCACAAATCAGCATCACAAATTTTTAGAGTCATACCTTGCCAGTATGGGGAGGGGGGGATTTTTTCTCTCAATAGCTGCGAAATCTTTCTCACTGCGGTCCTGCGCGATCCGGCGCACGGGGTCCTCTTGGACGAGCTTTTTTCCCGATTTGTGCTTGACCGGCTGAAAGTATCCGAGTCACAGTTTATTCTGAGAAAATCTTCCCTCCCCATATCGAAAGGGAAATTTGTGATGCTGACTTGTGACCACAAATCAGCTGTGTCTTGCGTACAAGGCAAAGTGCACCCATGTGGCGCATAGTGCAGCGAGTCTGTCATGCGTTTTCTCCTATGCCAGATTTGTTTCTTATGCTCAGCTGCTAGCCGGACGATGCGTAGCACCTTCTAAATGGGCTTAGAATAATATGCCGCCACGTCGCTCTTGCTGCAATAGAAAGCTCATTTGTGTACATAAGTAAATCCAGCAACACAAATTGTCTTTTGACTATGGGGTGGGGGCTTTTTTCAGTTTGATACAATTCGCCGCCAAGTTCTACGCGAGTGACGCGGAGCTCGCGGACATGCAGCGTGCCGGGATGGTATCAAAAGGAAAAATCCCCCCTCCCCATATCAAAGCCGAATAAATCTGTGCTGCGGGATTTGTGTAAGTACACAAATCAGCTTTGTCTTGCAGTATGGGAATGCAGGCAGATACGAAGCCTTCCGGGCGGGGATGTTCTGACGTAGGCACTTAGCACGACAGAGACAGATCCCCGCTGTAGGCCTAGCAGCATTACAAACCGCCCGCAAATAAATGCGGCGAAGTGTCTGGATTTGCCTTCTTTCAATACAGAGACGCTCTGTGGCCACAAATCCGCATCACAAATTTTCACAAGTGTCCCCTTTTGGTACGGGAAGGGGGGATTTTTCCTCACGATAGATGGAGCTCGGCGCGCATGGGTACTACCACGACAAGCGTGACGACGTCGAAAACTGGAACCGGTGCGCGACGGCGATGGAACGCGTCCTGGGAACGTCGCCCGTATCCTGAGTAAAAACGTACCCACACCAGAGTCAGGATGGGGAATCGGCTAGACAAATCCACAAGTTTTGGCTGTCTTGCATGACAAATTTGATGGAGCCGTATTGTAGTGCTGTTTGAGCTAGCTCAGCAGCATCACAGATCTAGTATATGGTACTGATTGGAGCATGACAAATTGCAAAGCACGAGTAGAAAACGCTTGTCATGGGACTCCGCATGAGAAACATTTTCAGCATGCACATTTGCATCACAACGATGGGGTGGGGACGTTTTTAAATACGATAGCCTGTCAGTCTGACGTATCCGAACGGAGACCACCAGACCGTGCCGTATTAAGTGCAAAAGTATCTGATACTCGTATTGCAATCATGCGTATACAAATCTTTTTCTGAAGGTAAACCCGCATTACAAATTTTATTTCTCATTATTGCGCTCTTGCTGGACATTACCAACATTTGCCCACGCAGAGCCGTCCTCTTGCCGGACACAACCAACATCTGTCCGAAACAACAGCCCAGGGCCAAGACGACACCGTGAGGACGTACGACCACAGGGGGTTCGTCTCAATGATGATGATCATGCTGAGGAAATTTGTGCTGCATTCCATTTATATTACGAGTGCGATACTATTGCAATTCATATGCCGGACCTGCCGGCAAAACTGTGTGAGAGAATAAAATCCCTCCAAGCCGGGTTTACCCTCACCCCCGGATCCTTTCACGTCAACCCGGTAACGGGGCAGCTACTCGACGAGGAGATGGACCCAGTCGAAAAAAAACCTTCGCGAGGACCGTTTGGAAAACAAATGCTGCTACCACGCGAAGACTGCCGCTCTTATCAAATGCAAAAATGTCTGGTCTGGAAGAGTGCAAACTTGTCATGCATATTTTGCATGCCCCGTGAGGTCTGCAATGCAGGACTTAGCATGACAGGTTCTGCGAAGTCTCTATCATATCTATCCTGCATGACAAACTGCCGCTAAAAAAACTTGTTCAGAAGTGGACACCTTTTGATATTTGCAATGCATAGCTCCATCGTAGACGCGCATGCGGAGACCAACCGAGTGGCTTTTTTGGTCTCCGACATGCCCACGGCACTGGTCGCCCTGGAGTATCTGCTGCAGACGCAGGAGCGTCGCATTGGACTGGTAATCCTTCAGCAGCAGGAGTCTCATGTATTCTGTGTAAAAACATTCCCACCCCGAAGTTGTCATGAAAATGCGCAATGTTGACAGGAATCGATTTGTAATGCGTATCTCCACGAGAGGCATGCCCAGTCGCGTTTTGACATTTGTAACGCTGTAAATAGAATGAGAAAGTGGCTTTCTCATGCGGCTTCCCTTGCTAGCCAGCACTACCCTGCAGATGGAAACTTGTCATGCAGAACTCCCAAAGCGTGCGGATTTGTGTTGCAGACTTCCCATCTTGACTACTGTGTGCGGACGTTTTTACTCAGGATATCATGATGTTTTTGCTCAGGAGGACAAAGTGCAGCGAGAGAATATCGCAAGAAAAAAGTGTTACAGTTATAAATTATGTTGCAGAACACGCAGGAGGGATAACTACCTCTGTCATGCACGAAATGCTTTCAAACCGTATTTCGTACGTGTTTCCCCGTAGGATTTCTGCAATGCAAGTTTTCCCTCTCATGCAGAGAGATTTTTTGTGTTGCTGAATGGACAACAAATGTGTAACTGTAACACTTTTTTCGTGGTATAGAGAACCTGGGAGAAGGCGGAGAATCGACGTCCTCCAATATCCTGTGTAAAAACGTCCCCGCCCTATAGCCAAGATGGGAAATCTGCTAGACAAATCAACAAGCACTGGCTCACGCGCATGACAAGTTTGGCTTCGACGTAGTGCTGTACTTAATCCTTTTCGGCTACTTCAGCAGCATCACAGATCTAGAATAGGATGCTGATTGGAGCATTACAAAGGGCAAAACACGACTAGAAAGTGCTTCTTATGGGGCTCCGCATGAGAAAGATTTTGAGTATGCAGCTCTGCATGACAACTGCGGGGTGGGGACGTAGTTTTTAAACAGGATATTATCCGACGCGGCCAGGGGTCCCGTTGCCGGCGCGGTAGAAGCCACGATCCAGCTGGCGACGCAGATTGAGTATCAGAAGGAAAAATCCCCCCTCCCCATATCGAAGTGGAAATCTGTGATGCTGGATTTGTGTACACAAATCGGATTTGTCTTGCAGTGGAGCAGAGCCGGGGTAGGGACATTTTGGTGTAGGAACCTAGCAAGGCAGGCATATTCTCCGTAGGCCATACAGCATTACAAATTGCCTGCAGAACGGGGCGGGGTTTTTGGATTTGCCTTCTTGCAATACAGAGACGATTTGTGGCCTCAAATCAGCATCACAAATTTTCAGAAGTATCCCGTTTTGGTATGGGAGGGGGGATTTTTCCTCACAATATTGAGGACCTGTGTGCCTTGCATGGCGTCGACACGCACCGGGCCCATACCGCGGACCTGCGGCACTCTGCGGACCTGCAAGCGCTCGAACGCGCGCGGCCCAGCGTGTTTGTCTCCGTCGGATGGCGGGCCTTGTCTGTCCCGGCCTTGGCACAAACAGAGTACGGCGCCTGTGGGCTGCTCAAAGTGCGAGTAAAAGGAGGAGAAAATGAAAATGAAACAAAAACAACAAAAACTTCCTCTTTTACAACCACGACGTCGTCAACGGATCATGATCTCGTTGTTCATGAAAATAATGATCACAACATATTCTGAGCAAAAACGTCCCCACCCCAGAGTTGTCATGCAATTCTGCATGCCAACGAAGTTTCTCATGCGGAGCCCCATGAGAAGCATTGTCTAGTCGTGCTTTGGAATTTGTGATGCTAGAATCAGCATGCTATGCTAGGTCTGTGATGCTGCTGAGCTACCTAAAACAGGACTACACTACGAGGACAGACTTATCATGCGAAGTAACCAAAGCTGGTAGATTTGTCTAGCAGACTTCCCATGTTGACTCTGGTGTGGGGACGTTTTTACTCAGGATACAACAGCCACCTCTCGTCGTCGCCACCGACAGCTCCTGCACAACATCCTCATATCAAAAGGAAAAATCCCCCCTCCACATGCTGAAAAGGTATGTTTCTGAAAATTTGTGATGCTGATTTGTGACCACAAATCCTGTCTCTCTTGCAAGAGGGCAAACCCAGAGACTCCGCCACGATATGCAGACGATTTGTGATGCGGCAAGGCCTATAGGGCAGACGTCTGCCATGCTAGGCCCCTACACCAAGAGGCCCCCCTTAGGCTTACGATCTGCGTGCAGTCCTTTACTGCAAGACGAATGTGATTTGTGTACTCAAATACAGCAACACAGATTTCCGTTTTGATATGGGGAGGGGGCATTCTTCTTCTTGATACCTCACGATACTAATTCTGGTGCCCGAATAAAACAAGAAGAAGAAGATCCTCCTCCGCCTGTAATACCATTTCGTCCTTCCGCCAGGCGGGCAGAGTCGGAACAGACCACTAGCCTCGGATTCGGCCTCTTGGTCAACAGACGAGCAGCACATCACCACGACGACCAGGGCAAAGTAGGTTTGGAAGCGGACGTGGTCGCGAACAAGATGTTACGGACTACAGTGGACGAGGGAATAGATCGTGCAGGAGGAACTACTACTTCGCAACAAGAACCTGCTGGTGTTTTTGACCTCCAAGCTAGTGGATTTCATGATTTTGATGTCGGGCCGATGGGGGGTGCTGTTCCTGCCTCGAGTACAACAAGAACTCGTGCATCAACTAGCACTCCTGCCAAAATACAGCTTGCTTCGCCAGCTCAACAACCTGCTCCCGGGGTCCTGGGTGTAAAAAAAGAAAAACCAACCTCGTCGAAGAACATTCTGCATGGCGATCATGTGACGATGAAAAACAACAATAGTACTACAACAGCCCTCAACATTGCAAAAGAATCGATTTTGCTCGGCTTACTCCTGGCGGCGCATGTCGAAGGGTACGTGTTTCGGACTGCCTCCGACACGGGTCGGTTGAGCTCCGCCCTGTTTTCCTCGTCGGAGGCAAGAACTCCTGGAGCAAGAGAGACGTCGGCAAGAACTCCAGAAGTAGTTGCACAACTACAAGGCGCAGCAGTTGTAGTTCATGATTCGCCTGGCACAATTTCTGGGTCTTCTGCAAGTAGAACTACTGTGGCAGGAGTAAATAAAACAAGTACCCCACCTCCGCAGGAGCTGCACACCTCCCAGCAACTACACGAGGCCGTGCGGATTTTTCCGGCGCATCATGATGTTGCAAAAAAAGTACTAGTACCCAATGCGGAACAACTAGTAAGCAACAACACGCGGAGCAACAAGCACGCTCGAGCGACTCGAACCCTCGTTCGAGCGACCTGTCCCTGCCTTCCCGATTGTGAGACGGTGACAAGCTTGTGGCCACTCCCACGCACGGTATACAATGGATTGAGCGTATCGAAGGGAAAAATTCCCCCTCCCCATATCAAAACGAAATTTCTGATGCTGGATTTGTGTACACAAATCCGAGCTGTCTTGCTGAAGAGCACTCTACAGGCCCATACCAAGTGTGAGTAGAGAGGTTGTGGCCTAGGCACTTAGCATGAAAAACATCCGCGCTGTAGGCCCAACAGCATGACAAACCGCCCGCGCAATCCGACGGAGCCTGCGAAGTTGCCTTCTTGCAAGACAGACACGATCTGTGACCACAAATCAGCGTCACAAATTTCCAAAAATATACCTTTTCAATATGGGGAGGGGGGATTTTTCCTTACGATAGAGCGAGTGCCACATTCAAGAAGCAGCGCCGCTGGTTATCCTATGTCAAAACGTCCCCACACCATAGTCAAGATGGGAGGTCTGCAACACAAATTCCCAAGTTTTGGGACTTCTGCATGACAAGTTTCCATCTGCAGTGTAGTGCTGGCTAGCAAGGAAAGCCGCATGACAAAGCCACTCTCTCATCCTGTTTACAGCATTACAAATTGCAAAACACGATTGAAACGCCTCTCATGAAGATGCGCATTACAAATGTTCCTGTCATTGCAAATCTGCATGACAACTCTGGGGTGGGGACGTTTTTGCTCAGGATACTGGTCATGAAAGAAGAAGCAGCAGCCTCTGAGGACGCCAACATGGTCAGTCGACAGAACGACCAAAGTATCAACAAAGATGAGGAAAATTCTAATGGCGGTTGTTGTCCAACGACTTCTTCGTCGTGGCTTTCAGTGCTTGCCGCACTTCTGCTGTCACAGGCCGCGAAGGAGGGACTGCGAAGACTCCAAGAACAGTGTGCTGGTCGCCCTCGTGCTGGTGATAAAGGGGGAGTAAAAAATGAAAAGGAAACGGCAGCTGACAGAGACGCGCGACGAGCACCAGGACCAACACAACTTCTAGGTGCATCAACAAAGCGAGGGGAAGATGCTGCAAAGGAGGCAAGTATTGTCGGAGATGATGTTGAAAAAGAACCGGAAGTAGATCATGCTGCTGTAGGCGGTACGCCGACTCCGTATGATTCTGTTATAGCCGGGACTGTGCTTCACACGTCTAGTATTTCTGGGGGCTTCGCTCTTCTGGCCTGTGTAAAGGACCAGGTGTGGTTCGTAGAGAAATTCGAGACTGACGCGATTTATCCGCGTGACCTCCTCACGCCGGCGCCAATCTATGCATACAAGTAGAATGGGCACTGACTAGTAGGTCGATCTTTTGATTTTAACCACCTAGTAACGTCAATACATAGGCTTGATGTAATTGTATTCAGCATCGTTGTTCTAGCGATTTGAGTGATTATAGGGTCGTTGATGATGACGTTCCTCTTTTGATTTAGATAGATATCTGCCGTAGTGCAGTTGTTCTGAGAGCTGTTGAAATTATGTATCCAAGAAATTATAGGTATAACTTGACTACAAAAAGAATTTCTACAGAGTTCTTGATTTTTGCATCGTTGCGACAGATGTACTGTGTGCACAAGAACCTTGTCACCGTTCCAGATTTATTTCGGGAGTTGCAGTTCCGTAGCAGTAAGTGAATTTTTGCGGAAAGTAAACAACATTTGGACGCCACGACCGAAAAACTGACCCAGAAGGCATTGCAAGTATAAAGGAGGAAAGTGAGAACGCTTGTCATCATCATGATGGGCATTATTTCTGCAATTGTTCAAAAATGTCCCTAGTGTGAATAAACTTCTGGCGATACAAAATAAAGCAGTGATGCCATCAAAAACAAATGTTCATGCAAAAGAACCTGCAAGAACCTAATGACTGTGACGATTTTTTTTTCCGTAGTAGACTCAGACACTTTTGTGTTCGCTTCATTTGAATTTCAAAGTATAGCTACGTCCTCCTGCTGCGACGGCATTTGCTGGTGTGGTCTGCGTCGATCGCAAAATCATACAAGCTTATTCTACGCGACAAAGATGAAAGCTTGCCGTCCGTGCATTTCATAATTTCCCGGTACTAGGGGACACGACACATAAAACCGGCGAAAGATCCATATTCTGGTGGAAGGGCGTGAGTAGCAAGGCAAACGGTTGTCCTGCGCTGCTGCTGCACCTACTCCTGCATGGTTATGTTTGAAAGTGTTTTTTACAACTACCGTAATACAGCTTTTTATTTTCTCCTGTGATCATAGATATAGAGATAGAGTTAGACTCTACTACTTGTTGAATAGATTATTTTTTCGAGACCGTGGTCACCATGACGGTGCTGAACTTGAGCGCAGCATGCCTCCAGGAGGCCTTCAACGAAAAATGTGTGCTGATTACGGGCGCCACCGGATCCTTCGGGCAGCACCTTTATAACCCGCTCAGGTGTTACAATCTCAAACGTTGCAATAGAATATGGAAATCTGTGATGCAAGAGTGCATGATCTAGCCAACTCTCATAGGATTGCGCATGACAAGTTCCGGAGCCCCAAACCCCACTACAATCTGGCGAAATTTGTATTGCAAAAGGTGGAATGCTGCGCGAGTCTGTCATGCTCATCATGAAACACATATTCGAGACTCTATTGTAACGCTTGAGATTGTAACGCTTGAGCAAGTCATAACCTTGTTTCCAAAATTCTGGAACACTGCACCCCAGCTGCGATCGTGATTCTGTCCCGGGACGAGCTGAAACAGTCGGTCATGCAAGAGAAGTTTGGGAGGAGAGTAGCCTATGTAAAAACGAAGCCCGCCACACCCCAGAGTCGTCAAGATCATTTTGCAATACAAATAAATCTAGAAAATGTTTTCTTGGGAGTCCTCACGCATGTTGACAAGTTCTTGCAGGCTGTAGTGTAGTGCAGTTTAAAAATATTAGCAAAGGAAGCCCCCGCATAACAAATCCATGTTCTTATCCTAATTTCAGCATTACAAACTATGCTAAAACACGAACAGAAATGCTTCACTCTCCTGCGGAGTAGACACCGCATTACAAATCGACGATTCCTGTATTTGTAATTGAAGACCCGCATGACAAGAACTATGGGGTCGTGTGGGCGGCCCTGTTTTTCCTCAGGATAGAGAGCCACCGTGAAGTATGAACTGCAAAAGCATCGTACTCGTATAAATGCATTACAAATTTCCTCAGCATGAGATATAAAAATTTGGAATGCGGGTTTACCTGAAGAAAAAAATTTGTAATGCATGACTGCAATTACTACGACTACGATACTTTTGCACAGGATATGGAGTACCTTCTCGGGGACATCCGCGACTATGAAAGGCTGACGGACGCCTTCGAGGATGTGGACATCGTCATCCACGGCGCTGCCTTGAAGCAGGTTCCTAGCCTCGAGCGCAACCCCTTCGAGGCGATAAAGACCAACGTGCTCGGCGCGAACAATGTGATTCGGGCGGCGGCTATGCAAGAAAAAAACTGTATAAGTGTAACTCTGTGTCTATAATGCAGAACATGCAACAGAATAATACACCTGTCATGCCAGACAGCCATGAAGTCCTCTTTATTTATGTGTGTTTTATTCCCTTACAAGCCACGCATGACAGGTTTTCTCTGTCATGTAGAGGAGCAAATTTGTGATCATTTCATGCTGTCAGCTGCCAATAAAGGAAGTTACACTAGCACAATTTTTTTCTTGGATAGCGGTGGCTTGCGGGGTGAAAAAGTATTATATGTAAAAACGTCCCCACCCCATAGTCAAGTTGGGAACTCAGCAACAAAAATCTAGCAAATCTAGATGTTTTGGGAACAACGCATGACAAGTTGCGCGCCGTAGTGTAGTGCATGTTAACAAGGACAAGCGCATCACAAATCCATCTGCTTATCCTGTTTTCAGCATTACAAATTCCAAAACACGACTGGAAATGCCTCCCTTGGGGATGCGCATGACAAATGTTCCTGTAATCGCAAATCTGCATGACAACTCTGGGGTTGGAAGTTTGCGAGAATCAGAGTAAGGAATTGTTGGCAAAAAAGTGAGGCGTTGTTCTGTTGGCAAGTGGGCACAAGTTGGCACAGTATGGCTGTTGGCACAGTATGGATATGGTTGGTGGCGATAACAGAGTTGGAATATAGTGGCCGGGAGATGATGGTGATGGCACTTTGGCGTCCGCCTGACCCACCCGCCCTGCGTCTCAAGCCATCTGCGGCCATGGCACAATGGGGGGGCAAAGTGTGTCGCATTTTGTTTAGCATGACAACTCTGGGGTGGGGACGTTTTTGCTCAGGATAAAAAGCTGATCGCCCTCAGCACCGACAACGCCTCGTCTCCCGTCAGTCTGTATCAAAATGAAATCCTCCCCATATTGAAACGGAAATTTCTGTTGCTGGATTTGCGTACACAAATCAGATCTGTCTTGCAGCGAGGTACTGCAGGCAAAGCCTAAGCCTGCGTATGGGGGGTTTGGTGTAGGTGCTTGGCATAGCACAGGCCTGCCATGATGCCGCCACAGCATTACAAATCGCCTGCATAAAGCGACAGACTCTTTGTGCTTGCCCTCCTGCATCAAGAGAGACAGGATTTGTGGTCACAAATCAGCATCACAAATTTTCAGACGTGTGCCTTTTCAATACGGGGAGGGGGGATTTTTCCTTACAATAGTCTGTACGGCGCCACCAAGCTCTGCCAGGATAAACTGATGGTGGCTGCAAATCACATGTACCGAGGAAATATCAAATGTAAAAATGGCTGGGTCTGCCCCCAATTACATAAATTTGGCTGGGTGAGGTAACTCCCAATTACATAAATTTGCATAGGCTTTAGTTGCTTAAGTGTTCAAATCGCATACAAGTAACGCTCTGCGCGAAGGATAAAATTGCAATAAGAGTTAGTTCCTGAGATCTTAGATAGTTCCGAAATCCGCAATACAAATCCAAGGTCAGTTCAAATTTCAGTACATAGTTCCTCTCATGCTCCATGTCATAAATGCTTCCCGATAAATCGATGATCTAGTAGTACTTTACTTTATTTACCTATAGCTCATAATGATTCTTACCCGAATGCTATAATAGTTGTTAATCTAGTTTTTAATGCGCATTTTGGGGGAAGGGTCATGAACAGTAGTAGTGTCAGCGAATAGTAGTGAGCATGCACCCACGGTGTGCTATTCGCACGGCCATGACACTACTGCGCGAGCACCCACAGGCTCCCAGGTGCCTAGCGCTTTGGCCAGCGTAGCACCTCGGTAGAGCCTGCGGGACCCCGTGGGCAGAAGTTCATTGCACCCAATTTGTACGTTGCGCAAGTGATAGTATAAGTAGTAATAGTTAGTTCCACCGGTGGACATATTAGCATGCTTAATCTCTCTCTAAATAGTGCAAACACGTAGTTCTCTTTTATTTTCTTTCTTCATAAAGTTCAAGTCGTTCTCTTCCCTGTGCTGTACCAAGGTCTTGTTTCCAGACAAAACACCAGACATTTTTACATTTGATAGGAAAAGCCCGCCAGGCACCGGTGGTCTCGGTCGTGCGCCTCGGAAATGTGTTTGGCAGCAGTGGGCTATCAGAATCAAAAATCCCCCCTCCCCATATCAAAACGAAGTTTCTAATGCTGGATTTGCGTACACAAATCAGATTTGTCTTGCTGGCGAGGACTACAGGCCCATATCAAGCCGGAGTACTTGAGAGGTTTTGGCCTAGGCGCTTATCATGACAGACGTCGATGCTGTAGGAGCAACAGCATGACGAACTGCCTGTAGCATGTGGCGGAGCCTGTGGAGTTGCCTTCATGCAACACAGAGACGATTTGTGGTCACAAATCACCAACAAAAATTTTTTCCAATAATATACCTTGTCCATATGGGGAGGGGGGAACGTTCCTCGCAATATGGGTCGGTGGTTCCCCTCTTTTTGCAGCAGGCGCAGCTGAGTGGGACGGTGACCGTGACCGACGAGAACATGTATCAAATGCACATATCCCTGGATGTTTGGAAGATTGCCAGTTTTGTCATGCATATTTTGCATAACCCATGATGCCTGTAATGCATGTCCGAGCATTATAGATTTTTAAAGGGCCCTCTGATGCGTATTCCGCATAAGAAACGCGCACTCTGCGTAGCACAAACTGAACTCCTCTTGCTGGTCATGCAAAAATACTTACAGACTTTTTTCACCTTCCAAAGACAGCATCACACGTTGCAACCTTCCAGATTTCCAGGGATATTTGCATTTGATAACATGACGCGTTTTACAATGGCTCTGGACGAGAGCGTTGGCTTCGTGGTGAATTGCATCAACATGATGCCTATCAACTGCAACTATCGATCTGGATGTCTGGAAGGTCGCAAGACTTGTCATTGATGTTCTTTTGTATGACCACCCATGATTGTCTGTGATGCATCACCTAGCAGTGGTTCACAGATTTTTTTTAGAGTCCGTCCTTATGCCTAATCCGCATGAGAGATAATGCCCTCGTCTCTGTGTAGCAGGAGAAACTAGGTTCCTCTTGCTAGTCATGCAATTTACGGATTTTTTTTTTAGGATCCAAAGACAGCGTCACAAGTTGCAACCTTCCAGAATTCCAGGGCTAACATTTGCATTTGATAGTGCGCGGCGGTGAGATTTTCGTACCCAAGTTGAGTACGTATCGCCTGGGCACTCTGGTGGATGTTTTTGCAAGTGAAAACATAGCCGTAAGCACGGTGGGCGCGCGACCAGGGGAGCGAATTCACGAAGTGATGGTTCCTATCCTGTGCAAAAGTATCGTACTCGTATAAATGCATGACAAATTTTCTCAGCATGAGAAATGAAATTTGTAATGCGGATTTACCTTCAAAAAAAGATTTGTAATGCATGTTTGCAATTACTACGAGTACGATACTTTTGCACAGGATAGTTCCGCAGGATGAAGCAGTGAACGCGCTCGAGTTCGACTATCAAGTGCAAATATGATTGGGTCTGGAAGAGTGCAAGTTTGTCATGCTTGTCTGGCATGACTCTTAAATCTCTCATGCACATTATCCAAGAGCTCCATTTTGTTGTCATGCAGAAACGCAGTTTGTCATGCAGAATAGGCAACACCCAGAAGCTCAGAAGCTTGTCGTCCTGAGCCAGCACTTGTGGCCTCCTCATGATACGCCACCCTGCATCACAAGTTGCCAGGCCCAGACATATTTGCATTTCATATCGACGACCACTTTGTCATTTGTCCCGACGGCCCTTGGTGGGATGCGGAGCGGAAATTCTACAAGGAGAGCAAGCAGGGGAAGCACGTTGGGCGCAACTTTGTCTACTCGAGCAACGGCGATGAGAGTGGGCCCTCTTATCATTTGTAAAAACGTCCCCATCCCAGAGTCAAGATGGGGATTTTGCAACACAAACCTTAAAGTCTTGGGAGCCACGCATGACAAGTTTCAGTCTGTAATGTAAAACTGCAGTTTAGCAAGGGAAACCGCATAACAAATCCATCTCCTTATCCTGTTCACGGCATTACAAGTTCCAAAACACAATGGGCAATGGCTCTCATGGGGATGCGCATTACAAATGCTCTTGTGCTTGCAGATCTGCATGACAACTCTGGGGTGAGGACGTTTATTTTACACGGGATACTTCTAGCACGTTCGTTAGCAAAGAGGATCTCCAAGGGCTTTTAGCGGACGTGCTCGACCGAGCCGAAAACTGATCAGGCTGTCCTGTGCTGTCAGGCTGCAGTCATGGAGTAGTACTAAGTTGTTGTGCTGAGTGTACTAGTTTTTGATTTTGTTACAACTACATGGGGGAACAAAACAAATAAGAACAGTGGAACAAGAAAAAACAAATAGGATTTTTTACTTCTTTCGCGCCGTCGTGGGTTTTTTTTTGTTGATAAAAAAGAACCTCACCACGACGAGCAGCAGGATCTCGGTAGAATATTAGTACTGAGATGACTATTAGTCGTGCAGTAAACAAGAAAAAGAAAATCACTTTTTTTGATATACCATTTGCTACTTGCAACTGCCCATCTACTGGCTACTTACTCGTCGTCGTCGTCCTGCGATAAAGCTGATTGAAAATACCAATAAAACTAGTCAAGCAAGAGCCTTACTATGGGACGATGCATTTGTAGTTTTATTATTTTTCGCTGGAGGAGTTTTTCAAATGGTGATGCTGTTGTCACAAATTAAGTATTCTGAAATCGTCATCAACTGCGTGCTCACGTATCAAATGCAAATATGTCTGGGTCTGGAAATCTGTGATGCTGAATTGAGCATGATTGAAGCGCTTGCAATGGCAGCCAGGCATGACAAGTTTTGGAGACGCCTGCGAATGCCTACCACGCATCACAAATTGCAGCGTTTTTGCATGACAAAACAAGCTTCTCTTTTGCTGCTCATGCAACACAGATTTTCCAGGAATGCAAGACACGCATCACAAGTTCCACTGTTACAGACCCAGACATATTTGCATTTGATATAACGAGTCAACTGACCATTTTACTGGCTGCTCGGACCACTGCGAGGACAACTGGAAGTGAAAGTGAAGCCAAAGTGCTGCTGTCCACAGTAAAAACAAGTAAAGCTGCTTCCAGACGAGAGCTGTGCGGCCTCTTTGAATGCTATAGCTCCACGACCGGCTCTGGAAATATTAACTTGTTGTGTTGTTGACTGTAAGTACACTCACATTTTATTTCATCCAGAGTAGCAGCTTATTCCATATCAACAGCACGCTCAGGCATGATGACAGGGCGTCACAAATTTTTCGAGGTAGCTTACTGCAGATTCATTCGCGGCCATCAAAAGCATAATTTAAAATATTCTTTACTAGGTGGCTTCTTCCAGCAGGTCAACAAGGTCGTGTAGGCGACTACTAGTGTACGACCAGTAGCTACCACCACAGTTAATACAATCCGAAGGCGAAGTCTGGTAGCTTTTCCGGACAAGTTGAATTCGCCCATGCTATGGCAAGCATGCGAAAAATGCTTTGAAAAAGGGCACCGAACAAGAAGTCGCGGTTCTTGCTGCTCGACAGGATGGGACCACAGCGGCAGCCTTTTTTTTCGCATCCCTCCGGGCGAACAAGCCGGTTATCTTCGTGCTGCCCGTATCCTGAGTAAAAACGTCCCCACACCAGAGTCAGGATGGGGATTTTGCAACACAAACCTAGGAGTTTTGGGAGTCACGCATGACAAATTGCACTCCGCAGTGTAGTGCTGGTTAGCGAGTGCAGCCGCATCACAGATTCATCTGCTCATCCTGTTCACAGCATCACAAATACCAAAACACGACTGTACATGGCTCTCATGGGGATGCGCATTACAAGTCTTCCTGTCTTTGCAAATCTGCATTACAACTCTGGTGTGGGTACGTTTTTACTCAGGATAGCCCGTTGTGTAGCTTTATCGGGGTGGCGATTTTCGTCAGCGTTCTGCAGTATCGCGTGCACCAACGCAGTGGCGGGAAGCTCGCGCCCTGCGGCGTTCGTCGTGCCGTGGTGACGGGCGGCGGGGCGCCAGGTGGTGCTAGTGGTCCAGGGCAACTGCAACAGGAAGTACGCACTCAGCGAGATTATCATGCCGTCCAAGAACAAGCTATCAAATGCAAAAATGTCTGGGTCTGGAAGAGTGCCAGACTTGTCATGCTTGTCTGGCATGACTCGAGAAGCTGTGTTGCATAGACACGAAAAGGCCCTCTTCCCCTGTCATGCAAAAACGCAGTTTGCCATGCGGAATACGCAAGACATGGGAGCGAAAAAATTTGTCATGCATAGCTGCGTATTGCAGTGCGTCTACCATTCACTTTTAGCATTACAAGTTTCCAGAATTAGACGTATTTGCCATGCATACAGGCTGCTCTCGTACAACAACCAGCCGAGACCAGTGGAACTACGAGGACCCCGTATCAAAAGGAAAAATCCCCCCTCTCCATATCGAGATGGAAATCTGTGATGCGGGATTTGTGTACACAAATCGGCTTTGTCTTGCAGTAGATAGAAGACTGCAGGCAGATACAAAGCCCGATATTAAACACACTCTGATAATATAACCACGTAGCAAAGCACCCATATCCTCCGTAGAAGGCCATACAGCATATACAAATTGCCTGCAGAACGCGGCGGGGTTTTTGGAAGATTTGCATTCTTGCAATACAGAGAACAAGATTTGTGGTCTCCAAGCAGCATCGCAAATTTTCCGAAGTGTAGTCCCGTTTTGGTCTGGGGAGGGGGGATCGGGATTTTTCCCCGCAATATTACCCCAGCTGCAGCGTCCTCGACGAGCGCCGCAGGAGGAGCCCTCGATCACAAGCGATGTGAGCTCGGTGAGCAGACCCTTTGGGATCCCTTCCGCGGAGCACCTGGTGAAGGGGGAGGTAGTAGTAGTGGTGCAGCCGGAGGCACTGTGCTCGGACGTCCTCTTGCCGCAAGAAGCCTGCTACCCGAGTTTTTGCAGGTGTACGGGCGGCGACCGGGCGGGCAAAACGCGGGCGGGGGTGGGATATTCCACCATTTTGCGCTGTGGGTGATTGTGAAAGCCCTGAAGCCGACGCATGTGATCGAGTCCGGTTGCCACACCGGCGTCGGCAGCTGGGTGTTACGGCAAGCCGCCGGTGCAGACGCCCACTTCACCTGCGTGAGCCCGGAGCAGCCCTCCACCTACGTGGACAAGATGGGTCCGGAGAAATATGAAAAGGAAAAATCCCCCCTCACCATATCAAAACGAAGTTTCTGATGCTGGATTTACGTACACAAATCAGGTTTGTCTTGCTGGAAAGGACTGCAGACCCATATCAAGCCTGAGTAGAGAGGCTTTGGCCTAGGCGCTTAGCATGAGAAACGTCTATGCTGTAGGCCCAGCGGCATCACAAACCGCCTGCATAATGCGGCAGAGCCTGTGGAGTTGTCTTCTTGCAAGACAGACGTGATTTGTGGTCTCAAATCAGCAAGACAAATTTTCGGAAACATACCTTTTCGATATGGGGAGGGGGGATTTTTCCTCTCAATAAGAAAAGCAAATACTTCACGGGCGCCAATTTCAAAGACTTCACGAAAATTGACTGGACCGGTTGGCTATGGATTGCAAAAGTGTCTGGGTCTGGAAGATTGTAACTTGTCATGGTAAATCTGAAGCATGCAAAAATCTGTGTTGCATGAATGCCAAAAGCTGTCCACTATAGATCAAGTTGGAAGGAAGTTTCTCATGCAGAATAGGCATGGCAGAGACCTCGCAGAGTCTGTCATGCTAAGCCCCGCATTCCAGACCTCATGGGTCATGGAAAATCTGCATGACAAGTCTACAATCTTCCAGACCCAGACATTTTTACATTTGATATTGGCCCAAGGAGACGACTCTGCTTTTTTTCGATGACCATCAGGCCTGCGTGCGCCGGGTGGAGGAGGCGCAGGACCGCGGGTTCCGCCATCTGGTATCAACTGCAAATATCCCTGGATGTCTGGGAGGTGATTGCGAGATTTGTCATGCTAGTTCGGCATGACTCTGAACTCTGTATTGCGTGGCCGCGAAGACGAACTCCTCTTATCTGTCATGCAAGAACGCAGTTTCTCAGGGGAGTACGCAACTCAGAACCACGGAAAAACTTGTCAGCATGCTGGGCAGCGCATACAAAATTACATGGCGCTCACTAACTATTCCCTTTCTTGCATCACAAGTTCTTTCCAGACATCTAGACATATTTGCAATGCATATCTGGTCTTCGATGACAACTACGTGCCCGGACACGGCGACAACATGTCCCTAAAGCGAATCTGCCAGAAGGACATGTACCCCGCCCTGCGGTTTCCCATGGTGTTTTCCGATAACTTCAACCGAAAAAAGCGGCCTTTGTCGGACGAGGAATTCGGAACCTACTATCAAAAGGAAAAATCCTCCCACCCCATACTCAAACTAGAAATTTGTGATGCAGATTTGTGGTCACAAATCAGCTTTGTCGTGCTAGAACGGAAAAGATGCGGACTATAGTTCTGGTTTGCGTGGGAAAGCGTTGCATCTTCAGCATGACAGGAGGCAGCTGGAAGTGGGAAACAGCATTACAAATTGCCTACAAACGAGGCCACAGTTGTGTCTCTTGGCCTTCTAGCATTACAAGCCGATTTGTGTACTCAAATACAGCATCACAAATCTCGTTTTCGATATGGGGAGGGGGGATTTTTCCTTTTGATACCTACGAGAAAGTGTTTGCGGAAAAACTGCGCGTGTACGCAGAGTTTCCCCCGGTGTGGGCAGGCCCGAACCGCTTCAAACTTTCGGATGAGGTGTGGAAGCAAATCTCGCTGCCGCCCCTGCTGTCCGAAAACGAAATTCCGCCCACTATCCTGAGTAAAAACGTCCCCACACCAGGGTTGTAATGCAGATTTGCAAAGACAGGAAGACTTGTAATGCGCATCCCCATGAGAGCCATTTCCACTCGTGTTTTGGAATTTGTGATGTTGTGAAAGAACAGGATGAGCAGATGAATCTGTGACGCGGCTGCACTTGCTAACCTGCACTACACTGCAGAGTGCAACTTGTCACGCGTGACTCACAAAACTCCTAGGTTTGTGTTGCAAAATCCCCATCCTGACTCTGGTGTGGGTACGTTTTTACTCAGGATACCCACCCTCGACGCGACCGCACGAAGGAAAGAGGCCGAGCGGTACACGCACATTGTGTATGCAGAGTTGAAGCCGAAGCCGACGAGTTCTGGGGACGCGACAGCTGTCGTTGCAGCGCCGCCTGCTTCACCACCGCTGCAGCGAAACGAGGAGGTCGCAGAAACGGAGAAGGTCCGGGCCCTGAATCAGGTGGCGACCGAAGTGAAGGAGGTCCCGCACCTGCAAGTGGTTATCAAATACAAAAGTGTCTGGGTCTGGAAGACTGTAAACTTGTCATGCTAAATCTGAATAATGTAAAAATAAAAAATCTGTGTTGCGTGATTACCAAAAGCTGTCCACTTTTGACCTCATCGAGAGGCAGTCTATCATGCAGGATAGGCATGATCTGGTAACCAAATGCGTGCGCGCGCGCGCGCAGAGCGCGCGCTCTGCGCGCTTGCGATATTGCTTAGCAAACGCAGCGCGAAGGCAGTTGCCGTTACCATATAGGGCAACCGCCGGGAGGCGTGAAGGTCAGGGAAATGGCCAGAAATGAAGCGGGAGAAGGGAAAAAAAGCGGACCAGATGGGAAAATGGCCAGGAG